TTCTGATATTCTATGTTCTAAGGGCCCTCCCAACTCTGACATTCTGTATTCTAAAGACCTTCCCAGCTCTGACATCCTGTGTTCTAAGGACTCTCCCAGCTCTGACATCCTGTGTCCTGATGGTCTTCCTAGTTCTGACATTCTATGTTCTAAGGGCCCTCCCAACCCTGACATTCTGTATTCTAAAGACCCTCCCAGCTCTGACATCCTGTGTCCTGATGGCCTTCCTAGTTCTGACATTCTATGTTCTAAGGACCCTCCCAATTCTGACATTCTGTGTTCTAAGGGCCCTCCCAGCTCTGACATTCTGTGTTCTAAGGAACCTCCCATCTCTGACATCCTGTGTCCTGATGGCCCTCCTAGTTCTGACATTCTGTGTTCTAAGGACCCTCCCACCTCTGGCATTTTGTGTTCTAAAGGCCCTCCTAATTCTGACATTCTATGTTCTAAAGACCTTCCCAACTCTGGCATTCTGTGTTCTAAGGGCCCTGATATTTTCTGTTCTAAGAGTCTCTTCAATTTATTCATGAAGGTTTCTCTTTGCCTGCCTTGATGTTCTAAGGTCATTTAAACCCAGCCACCCACATTCCCTTCTAGGGACCCCAAGGTGGCAAATTCCAGTTGGCTTAGAACCTGCTTCAGGGAGCACAAGGCAAGGGGCCAACAGGAGGGCCAAGAGCAGCCAGGGAGAGACAAGGAGGCTTTTCCCACCCTCGGGGCCCTCTAAAGTGCAGCGCTTGGGAGCCTGGCCTCCTCTCTGGCCTCCCAGGGGGCAGGCGTCAGAGAAGGTTGATCTCATCCAGGTAACGGGCAAGCACAGAGTCCCGGACATCCTTGAAGACCTTGCGGATGTTGTGGGTGTCAGTGGCACAGGTGTAGTGGCTAAAAAGGCGCCTGGAGCGGGAGTTCTTCCTTGTCGAGCCTTTGACATCCCCGGAACCAGTGTATATCCCAGTGTACATATCTAAGATGAACTGCTTAGCTGCTTCTGCATCCTGCTTGGGGCCTGGTGAGGGGGACAAAAGAAACAGTAAAGACACACCCAAACATGGTGGCCAGAGAAGTGTCTTGGGGTCTCCATGAGCCACGCTCAAGCCACCACAAGAACAAAAAGAGGAAGTGGGACCAACCAGCCCTGCTCCCCAGCTGGGGCTGGAGTCTGGCCAGTTAGTCCCCCTTCCTGTCTGGGGTCTGGTTTCCTCAAATTGGGAACCAGAGAGTCAGAGAGTCTAGCTGGGACGAGGACAGGATGTATGCTCTGTGGTGGAGGTGGGGAGCTGCCTTCACAAGCCCGTCCCTGGTGCCCTGGGAGGAGAAGCTACAGAGAAGAGAGTAAGGGAAATCCTAGGATTTTAGAGCTGAAAAGTAATTAAGAGATTGAATCCAATCCTCCTAGTTTACAGAAAGGGAAGACGAGGCCCAGAGGGAAGAACCTGTCCTGTCCTGTCCTGGGAGGGAGCAGGAAGGAGGAGGGGGTCCAGGGACCCTAGTATATGGGCAGGAGACCAGGGTCTAGGGACATTGCTTGTAGCCACTGGTGATACCTCAGGGATGCTGTTTCCCTTCTCTAGGCCTCATATGCCCCATCTGTCTGTAAACTGAAGGAGGTAGACTTGGTTATCCCTAATGTCCCTTCCAGTTCTGAGACTCTATGAAAAGAACATGGACTGAGTGCAGATAAGGCTGGGCCATACCCCAAGTGAAGATGGGGATGACATAGCAAGGAACTCTCTGCATCTCCCTCCGGTGGTCCAGAACGGCAAACAGGGCCGCCTGGAGAGAAGCCCAGGATCCCTCAGAGCCGAGATCAGGAATCACTCACCGGGGAAGCCGGGGAAATAGGTGGCCAGGTGGGAGGTGGGGATCTTCTCCTCCAGGATATCTGTCTTGTTAAGGAAAAGGATGACAGAGGTGTTCTTAAACCAGGGCAGCTCCAGGATGGTGCCAAACAGAGCCAGACTCTCTTTCATCCGGTTCTAGGGAGGGAAAGGTTATTAAATATAAATATATTAATTATATTAAATAAAGTATTAAATATAAAAAGAAACTCTCAGGAGGCCTTCTAATCCAACCAGTATCTGAACTCTGTCATTTGCTACTGATAGGACCTTGGACTAGTCTTTACCCTCTCTGGGTCTCAGTTTCCTCCTTTGTAAAATGAAAGAATTGGACTATATATCTTCTAAGGTCTCTCCCAGCTCAAGATCAAGGGTCCTTCTATGACGTATCCAGCCGGACATGACTGGAAGAACTCAATAACAACAAATATATGTGTACATGTTGTTTCTCTCAACAGAACATCAGCTCTCTGAGGGCAGAGACTTTCACCTTTGTCTTTGGTATCCCCAGAACTTAGCGAAGCTCCTGGATCGTAGTAGATGCTTAACCAATGCTTGTAGATTAGCCAGTTGATGGCAATTCCTCTTCCCCATGACAATCCTTGAAGACAGCACTGGATTTCCCCCTCATCTCCAGACAATAGCTCCGCTCCTTTCAAATCACAATCACCGGGAATGAAATGGTCTCCATTACCTTTCCCATCCTGGTCACCTTCCTTTGGACGCATCTGGCGCCACAGTTAAAGAACCTGCGCTTAAATCTTATCTCTGATGATTGCTGCCTGAGAGACCTTGGGCAAGTCACTTGGCCTCCACGGCCTTCAGTTTCCTCATACGTAGGATGAGGGGACTGGATTCAATGACCTTTAAGATCTCTTCCAGCTCTACCTATACCTATTACCCTATAATATCTATACCTATTACCCTATAATATCTATACCTATTACCCCATAATCCTCTAATTTGCCAATATCTTTCTTTCCCTTTGACCAATATGGATTGGATCTGACTAGTCTGATGAAGTTAAGCTTTTTTCAAGTACCTACTATGTGCAAGACAAAATGAAAAATGGCCCCTGACCTCAAGGAATTGACATCCTGACCAAAGCAGAGGACAATATTTGTGAGTAGCTGCATGATAAGGGTGTCTGTCCCTGTACGAGTAAGTACTTATGTGTTTTAGAGTACGGGGGACTACATTTGTGCATTGTGTGTGTCTGATTACATCTGTGCACGGCATTATCCGTCTATACTTCCAGGCTCTCCAGTCCCACTAGTCACCAGCATGGGTCCTTTGTAGACCCCTGTGAGACTTTGGACATGATCTTGAAGAGTTGCCAGAGCTATTTCTTACCACCAGTCAACCTGGATTCAGACATAAGCTTCTCTGAACTTAGTGACACTGCCCATCTCTGGACTCTCTGGACCTGAGATCAATACTAGACTCATACTTAAAGCCTTTCCAGATTAGACCCGCCAGACCTTGCGCCCTGCTGGCAAAGCCATCTGGAGGCCAGGGTCCCCTCTATGCCATCGTGAAGCTATAGAGGGAGACAGCAGTGCAAATGTATAAACTATGGTGTACGGTGGTGGTCTCCAGAATCATTTGAGCAAAAATAATTGGGGCATGCACCTCATTCTGTGTATATTCATTTATTTATAAATTATACACATATATTAATAATCACAAACATTATAAAATTTACCCAAAAATAAAAATCACAGACAGTGAAATAAGATAAAATCATGTTTGATAGTAGAGTCAGTAAGAGGCCACTAGAGAAGGGGGATGGCTGACCTGATCATATCTACTCTTTGGCAGCTGGATAGAGTGTGAATTGGAGAGGGGAGAGACTTAAGGTAGGGAGAGCAATCGGGAAGCCGCTGTAATGGCCCAGGCAGAAGGTGCGGAGGCCCGGACCAAGGTAGAGTAGAGAGAGAAGGGGAGAGAGGAGAGACGCACCGAGAGACAGAAAGGGCAAGATCTGTCAACTGATTGGATATGCAGGGCAAAGGAATCCAAGGAGGGGAAAATGACTCCGAGGTCACCAACCTGGGAGACTGGAAGAATGGTGGTGACTTCAACAAAAACGGGCAGGTTTTGAAGAGGGGGGAGGTTGGTGGAAAGATAATATAATCACATTCATCTAGGCCTACTCATCTGGTGCTTTCTCATTGAGGGAGAGAAAGAAAGACAGAGAGAGACTGAAGGAAGGAAGACAGGAAGGGAGGGAGAGTACAAGGAAGGGAGGGAGAGAAGGAGGGAGAAAAGAAAGAGAAAGAAAGAGAGAGAAAGAAAGAAAGAAAGAAAGAAAGAAAGAAAGAAAGAAAGAAAGAAAGAAAGAAAGAAAGAAAGAAA